GCTTGGAATCCAGCTCTACTTACAGTGTGACCCTGGGCAAGTTAATCAACCTCTCTGAGCCTTAATTCCCTCATCTATAAAGCAAGAACAATGTTGCCTACCTTGTATAAAGGTTAGGATTATATGAGATCGTATATGTGTACCCCAGACATAAGCCAGGGTCTCCTGTCATCCAGTCTCTACATGAAGTTACATTTGAAGAAGATAGTCCTACAGGCAAATGAAATTCATACTTTTTTTCTAACCACACAAGTATGACTCAACGATCATAAGAGAGGGTCCTGTCTTTAGCCCACAGTAACCTTTCATAAAATATCTTTTATTCTTCTGCCCAATGCCCTGCCCCCGCTAGAAATCTCACAAAACTCTCCCAATGGCACTAGACTTACCGGGTTTAGCAAAACAAAACAAAACAAAACAAGCAACAGAAAAGCATGACCGGTTTATTTTGATTTTCAGATACAAAACAAATCTTTTTTTAAGCACTATTATTTCCCATGCAATATTTGGGACATACTTATACTTAAAAAACATACATTATACTCAAAAATCACGGGTTTATTTGAAATTCAAATGAAACTGGTGTCGTGTATTTTATCTGGCAACCCTCCCTAACACCCATCTCACAGATTTATTTTTTCTGTTCATTCCTCCCCACCCCATCTTTGCTACACAGGTTGACTGAGCTAAGTTTCTCCCACCTCATTTTCAGATTTTTGTCTATGCTCTGCCCAGTACTGACATCCTCCACAATGAGGGAGAGCTTTGGAGGGGGCCCAGCAAGAAGAATCCTTCCCTTTCCCCCCCACTTCCCTGGTCCTCCCTCCATAGCCACTGCCCCAATCCCACCTTTTCAGAACTCAGTAGCCAGGAGAACCTGAGAGGGCAGGAGAGAAGAAGACGCTAACCGGCAAAGACCACATTTTGTTAGTGTCAGGGAGTGAAGGTATCACTCTCACACGTTAACAAATAAGGTACTTGGCTCAGGCTCTGCAGTACAGTAAACACAGACACCTGCTCTCAGTCATTCTCCTCCTCCTCGACATTATGAGAGAGACGTCCTTACCTAGCCTCCTAGACCCAATCCAAGGCCCCATAGATTGTCCTATACAGAACACTCCAGAGACCTTAAAAGAGGTCTGCCCACCTGGGGGCTCCTGCTGAGATACTGAGTTTGGACCCACACCAGCCCATGGTAGCCTCCACTCCAGGATGGTCTCAGCTCCATTACTTGGAAGCCCCACATGATCACAGCATCACTCTGTTCCTGGGGTCACGTGACCCACCCAGAAAGTTCAAAATTTCCAAAGGCCCCTAAGGAGCCAGGGTATCCCTTCTGGGACAGTGGCTTCAGTTCTCTTTAAAGAGGCTGCTATGCCGCTGCTGCCGAAGGCAGTGATCTTCCTCCATCCTGAGGCCACCTGAGGGAGTTAAATTCCCACTACAAAAACAAAGCCCGATGAACTGGAATAGCGTTGGTCCTGAGTGCCAGCAAGAGCCTTGCCTCATTCCCAAAGGGGTACTGGGTCCATTAAAGCTTTTCACAGCTGACTGCTCACCTGTTCTTCATTTTCCACTTCACTCGGTGCACTAAACAGTGTCCTGGAGAGAAGGACCCAGCAGAACAAACCAATAAAATTGAACATTTCCCCCTCAATCCTCTTTGAGGCAGATCCTCCAGGCTGTCTCAATGGGGAGATACAGCTTCATTTCTTTCCTTTTTTTTTTTTTTTCTTCTAAGAGTGGGAATCCAATCTGGGACAAATCAGACCCAGGGCTTTAAAAAAAAATGGCACCACAATTATTTCTCCTTATAACTACCAAGGGGTTTCTCTACCGGTCTTTCTTCCTATATCATTCCTATTTCATTGCCAAAAAGCATCACATAAGAAACAGGAAGAAAAAAAGAAGCCTGAGTAGCATGGTACACTTCTTAATTTCAATTCATCTCAACAGATTTTGGTCTGAGGAACCAACCCACCACAGGGGATACAAAGTAGGGAAAAGTCAGAGCCTGCCCTCCTGAGGCCCACCGTGTGTGAGACTCAAGACATCAGCAGCACAAAGCAGAGGGCTTCCGCCACCACTGAGAGGGGCTGTGTGCATGGGGGGAACAGGGCAGGATGAGAGATGGATGGAAGTTCTCGAAGAGAACTTCAGAGAGGAGCAGCACTATCTGTGTGTGTTTTATTGCTGTGGCTTTTGTTTTTGTTTTATTTTCTCTTCTTTTCTATTCCCCATCTGTCTTCTAATCAGGCCCATCCCTAGTCTACTGGGGTGGCTGAGCTTGAACTTGGTAATCCTCCAAAGCCTTCAGTATTCCTCCCACTCTGACTCTAGAAAACAGACCATTTTGTCTAGCTTTTCCTATAGGTGTTTCTGTCCAGAAAAGTGTAGCATGCAATATATATATATATACATATTTTTTAATTGAGCATTTTACTATGGGAAGTACTAAGAAAATGGTTCCGGAAAATAGTAATCAGCAAAAACACCTAGACCCCCCGTTCATGGTGCTCACAGAGCAGTGGTTCAGCATGGAGTTAAGATTATAAATGCACATACTTTGGAGTTGAAAAGAGCTGGGTTGTCTTATCATCTGTGAAACTATAAGTTAATTAAATTCCCTGTGACTCAGTTTGCTGATGTATAAAATATGGACAATAATACCCAGCTCATAGGTTTGCTATGCGGTGTAAGCAAGGTATGCATTGGTGGGGGTGCGGTATTCTAGTACCACCCATTTTGGCACCTCGTGACAACACTAACACTACTGTGCTTTGCTATTTTCCAGTTGTGTCCCATTTGTCTGTTTCATTTCACCAACAACATCATAAGCCTCTTGAGGGCATAACAAAGACTGAGCAGATCATAAGGATTCAACAAATAGCTGTTGAGTTCATATTGCAGGAGAATGTGGAATTTTTCTGCAAAGCCACCGAGGTTTTCATTTTAGGCAAGAGCAAAGGGGGGCAGAGGATTTCCACGGCTGAAATGCCGAATGCATATGTTTGCTCAGCGAATAGGGCAGAGGGAAAGACAAAGTGAATTCCAGTGCTGCTGTGACAGCGTCCTGTGACAGAGAGCCTGCAGAGCGGAGGAGAACACAGCCGAATAAACCAGGGCATAGAGAGAGATGAATGCAGCCAGGGGGACGCTCCACTGGATGAAAGATAGCAGTAGGTCCCTGTGAGACTGGGAAGGAAACCTCATTGCTGCCCAGAGAGAGGCCAGTGCACCTCTTTAGGTGGGTGATGCTCAGACAATCCCACAAGGTGTTTGCATGGAGATCAAATGGAACAGCCATTGGGGGCAACTACCACCTTGGAGGTCAGGGAAGGCAGGTGATCAGTAAATAGGTAATTGATTCAAAAGATGCTTCTCTCAAATGGGCAGAAGACATGAACAGACACTTCTCCAAAGAGGACATCCAGATGGCCAACAGACACATGAAACGATGCTCAGCATCCCTCCTCATCAGGGAAATACAAATCAAAACCACACTGAGATACCACCTCACGCCAGTCAGAGTGGCTAAAATGAGC